CGTTTAAATTTTAAATTTACTGTAGTAAAATATACATTTCCATGAATCCCTTTCAAAATAGTTCCCCTCACTAAAAACACACTTAGCCTATCATCCTTGCCACTTTCTGAAGCAATTCTAGAAATCCTCTTTCATGAGTGTCTTTAGTTGTGCCTACTGGGGCTACCTTGATGTCCTGAATTAATTAAAAACATTTACAACAATTTCTGTGAAATAAAAACATTATGGTGTTTCCTCATGCACTTTATTCACTGGATCTGACACCATGCACCCTATGCATCTTTCCTAAAGCCTAAACGACCATGAAAGGTAAATGTCTTGAATTAATTCAAGATGTGGGGGCAGTTACACAGTGCCACAAAGACATGACAGGAAACTTTCAGAACTGCTCAGAAAGTAGCAAGAATAATGGGATAAGATGTTCAGAGTGACAGGGAGAATTCTGAGGAAGATTAATGCCAATGTCTTTTACTGTAATAAATTTTTCTTAAACGTTTACCATATTTGTTGATCATATCTCTTATTATTTCAGAAATATAGCACATAAGAGTTGGACTAGTAGTATAATATGTAGAGATGAAGTAAAGTGGGATACTAAAGGTAGATACAAAAGTTCCAACACACATTGTGAGGTAATCCTCAGAGAAATAAAAGGTCAAAGAGGAAGAAACAGTGTTGAAAACAAAATAGAAATTGCTAAATATATAAGAATTTTATGTACATTCACCATGACGAAGGCACTGCATTTCAAACCTATTAGGAATGGAACCACACTACACTTAGAAATAATGTACAGCTCAAATGGCATATACCGAAGATTAAAAATAAACAAACTAAGCTTTCAACTCAGGAAGCCAGAAAAAGATACAAATAATTCCACAAAATATACAAGCAATTTAAAAATAAATGTAATCAGTAATGAAATGGGAGCAAGGAGATAGGAAAGTGTAAGCAATAATACTTAATAAAAGCTAAAGCTTTGGTAAATATGATGAAAACAATTAGAAAAGGCATAAACTAAGAATGAAAATATTTATCTGTAGCTAGAGTTAAAACATTTGAGAATTGTTAATTTGCTTAGGTTTAATAATCCTGTCTTCCTGGACAGGAGAGTAAACCCAGAACCTTCATGTTTGAGCTACTTCTCCTTTTTATTTTTTGAAACAGGATCTCCCTAAGTCACTAAGTTGCCCAGGTTCAAACTTATGATCCTCTTCCCTGAGTGTCTTAGTTACTTCTCTCATTTCTGAGACAAAATACTCAACACCCACAACTTAAGGCAGGAAAGGTTTATTTAGCTCAGTTTGTAGAGGTTTCAGTCCATAAGCAGCTAGGTCCAAGGCAGGGTAGTACATGGAAGAGGGGCAACAGTTCATAGCAGCAGAAGACAGCAAAAGCGACAAGTGAAAAAAAAGGAGAAGGATCAAGCCTCTTTCTGTCCCTTATACTGTAGGCAGGTTACCAACTGTAGGGCAGGTATGGCACTCACACCCTTAATCCCAGCATTGAACCATGAATCAATCAGAAACTGTAGATTCAGCCACCTCCAAAAAGCATCCCCATCCATGACTGCATGAGGCTTTGTGGGTATATCTAAACACAAACCATAGCATTCTACACACACACACACACACACACACACACTGCCAAAGACTCATGCACATCCCTTTACACAAAGGCATTTAGTCCATCTCCAGGAACTGCCAAAGTCCTAACAGTTTCAGCTCTGCTAAACAGTCTAAGTCCAAAGTCTCCTCTGAGATTTAAGGCATACTCTCAGCTGTAAGCCCTGTACAAATGAAAATAAAGTGAAACACTTCCAACATTCAATGGCACATGATAGACATTTCCATTTCAAAAGTTATATACAGGGTGATACAAAGGAGTAGGACCAAAGCAAGTCCAAAATCTAGCAGGGCAAACATTAAATCCTGTAGTTGCATGTGCAGCACTGGAGGCAATCTGTGGCAAATGTGAACACCAAAGGGCTTGGATGGCTTTGCCCCTACAGCATTGCTGGTGGCTGTAGTTCCCATGGCGTCTCTCCTGGACCTGCTCTGTTCCCTCACTGGAGTCTTCCTCAGACAGTCCATGTCCCTAGCTTCTCAAAACTTCCAGACTCTACACTGAACCTTTGGCTTCACGCTCACAGCTTCACATACTTCCCTCTTAGGGGTACACTAACTGGCTTCCCAGGCCTTCTGAAATCTAGGTGGAAGCCTTCCTGACCCCACAGCTCTTCCCTTCTGCATGCACCTAAAACTAGCACCATGTGGATGATGCTAAGGTCTGCTGCCAAATGCAGAAGTAGCCACCCTTTCTTCTCATTTGACTGTAGGGATTGAGTGGCTACATCACTAAGCACTTCAAACTCAATTCTGAGAAATAAATTCTTTAAGCCACCACCATTCTGGAACACAATGCAGCTGCCACCGCTCAGGAATATGATGCTCTTGAGCTTTCTTCTCAAAGCAAAGTCTTTCACTTTTCCAGTTTTGAGGTTGCAAAGGGTGGACTGCTGCTTCTTGTGATACTCTTAGGCCATCCTTTTTATTCTCCTGTCCCTTCTCAGCAATCAAAATCTCCTACCCTATCTTTGCAGTCCACAGCTTTAATGGAGTTTCCTTTCTGGCCAAACTCACAGTGCTTTTAATCATTCAGCTATGCTCTTTGCTCTTGATTCTCAACATAGATTTGGCTAAAACCCCCAACAGTAGCCATGCCACCACCTCGACATTTTACTGCCTTTAATCTTAGTCTTAGGCAAAATACAGGCAAACTTTCTGCCAAGCCATAACACTCGTCATCTGGAGTCCAACAGCCAATGCAGTCCTTCTTCCCAGCAGAAACCTCCATAAGGTACTCCTTATGGGCAGGACTTCTGTCAGCCTCCTGGCCTTCTAAACTCTGACTACAATCTCTCATTCAGTACAGTCTCAAGCATTCCAGCTCTACTTTTTCAGCTGGCATGTCCAAACCTTTCCTAACTCTTCCCTTTCCCACAAGCCAGTTCCAAAGTCTCTTGAGCCATGTGGCAAGGTGTACCTCAGCAACCAACCCACTTCTCTAGAACCAATTCTTGTTGCTGACACAAAATACCCAACACCCAAAGTTAAAGGAGAGAAGATTTATTTAGCTCACAGTTTATAGAGGTACACCACCATGCTTCACTATGTTTATTTTTACATTCCCTAGCTTTTAGAGAGGTACACTAAAATTATTGTGGAAAAAAATACCTAGACTTTCTGTCAACATATATGGGGTAGGAAACACAGATAAAAATAAGTGTCCATGACCATCATACTTGTTCTCACTGACTAATGGCTACGTGAAGATCACTATAGTATTGTATTTTTGTGTACGTTTAACATTTTTAGTAATAGAAAGCTAAAGATAACATTTTAAAAGAACTAAAATGAGCATTTGAAATCTCATAAGCATTTGAAATAAACATTTAAAACTCTGTACTAACAAAATTTTAAGCCTAGATAACAGGCACAGTAAAACATGTGTTGAACACATGGTATGTGCCAGTCTCTGTTCTGAGCCATTTACATGTATAAGCTCAAAGTTAAGCTTTAGTCTCACTATAAGACTTTGGCCATTTACTTTACTTCAGGGTACTGTTTCTTCAACCTCAAGTGCACACAGTACTACTACACTGTTGGGGTTATTGGGAAGATTAAATTGGTGCATGTTGCCTACCTAGAAGAGAGCCTAAAACATCACAAAGAGAAAAATACATATTAGTAATTACTAAAAACTGAATAGAAGAATGAGTCTTCCAAATTGTAAGGCCCACCATGTCCTGACCAAGGCTCCATATAAACAATAATATAGAAAAACACTTATCACAAGCTTGACTTAAACAGATACATCTAGCATTAAAGAAAAGTATAGCAAAACATCTCATTTCTGGATATGGATACAGAAATATTAAAATACAGTAATAAAATTTAGCATATAAAAATGCAAAATATTAAGAGAATTACACATTAACAAAAAGATTTATCCTTGTGATGTATACTTGTTAAACAATACCAAAATCTAGCCATGGACTTAGGACACGATTAAAGAGATTTCCAGGGGCTGGGGATTTAGCTCAGCGGCAAAGCGCCTGCCTGGCAAGCGCAAGGTTGTGAGTTCGGTTCCCGGTACTGGAGAAAAACCAAAAATAAATAAATAAATAAATAAATAAATAAAAATAAAGAGATTTCCAAAATAATCAATAGAAAATAGACAGTATATAATAAAGTAACACATATCCAGAACACACCTAACTACTCTTGGGAACTAAAAATAGGAAGCATCCTCTTCAACCTGAGAACCACTTATTGCCTGTAGCTCATATTATTATTTCATACTGGAAACTTAAAACCTTGACCATGAAAGATATTGTTGCACTAAATGTGCTTATTTAATTGAGTCACCAGTGCAGAGGCCAGATGCACAGATAAGCAAGTTTATTAGCTGGCAGTGGTGGGCATCCAGTACATGACCAAGCACCAACTAGAAGGGCAGAAGCGGAGAATAGTTACACAGTTTTAGTTCCAGGTCCAGTTCTGGATCTAGGGGGTGCTGATATGACTTGGTGTAGCTACAGAAATACTCCTGCAAAGCATGAGCTTAGCTTGTGACAAAGGAACAATGGTGTCTGACATTTTATGTAGGGAACAAGCAGTCTTATGACAAAGCATAGGGTGGTGCTGGGTTAGGTAACTATGACAACATTTATAAGAAACTTAAGGAAACAGAAACTTGAACTTTAAAATGGCACTAGAACACAAAATGGCATTGGTTTAGTTTTCTTTCCCCTATCTATACAATACCTGCTCTCACTGCCAGTATAAAAACAATTTAGGTGATAGCCGTGGCAGTAAAAGCAAAAGACAGAAGAATAAGCGGTAAATGGGCAACACTAGCATTATTGGCAGATAATGATATAGCCAAGTACACAAGGAACCCAGAATTACCAGAATTTGAATTCTCCTCTGTGACAGGACACAAGTTCATCAGGGGAAATTAAGTAACATCTCCATGAAATCAACAGAAACTCTACAGTACCTAGAAATAAGCTTGAAATGGAATTGGCAAAGACTACAGAAAAAATTCAAAACTGACCGAGTAAGTGGAGGCAGACATTGTATTTATGCACAGAAAAATGAAAAACTGGAAAGATGTGAATTTCCTGAAACCCATCTATGTATTCAGTGTAACCTAATCAAAACGCTAACAGTTCTGTTTTTGAAATTCTGCTTTCAAAATTACTATGAAACAGGATGGAATGGGGTGGAAGGAGAGAGGTATTTGGAAATGAGTGCGTATGTGGGGGGAAAAGGACGATTCATGGAACTTCGGGGGTGTAGCTCAGTGGCAGAGCAAGTGTTTAGCACGTGTGAGGCCCAGCACCAGGAAAAAAAAGAAAAAAATGTACACTATATGTGCTTGAAACACTTAAGAAGTAAAATAAATGTAGAGACAGCCAAATGTATTATGGAAATTTGCTTTTTCAAGACTTACTAAAAACCTACAGGAATTGAATATGGAGAGAAAAATAAACAGACTAAGGGCCAAAGTACAGCATTCAACACTAGGCCTGCATTTAGGAAAATTCAGTATACAATAAAATGGCAGTTTACGTCAGTGAGCAATGATCAGACTATTCAATAACAAATTCTGGAACCAGTTATCTGTTGGGAAAAAAAGCAACTAAAATCAGACCCTCTCCCTTACATCAAAACAAGAATAACATCCAGATAAGTAATTAAACATATTAAATAAAATTCAAAAACTCAAGAAAATATCTAAAAGCATATGAAAAAGCTCTGCTTCATTTGGAGCTGTGTGGAGTCACCTGAAACTTAATGACAAGATAAATTCTGAGCAGTGCACCATTAGGTGATTGTGTTGTTGGGCAGACATCACAGAGTGTACTTACAGAAACCTGGAGGGTAGATCCGAGTACCGCCTAACTGCACGTGCTGGTTCCTTTCACATGACTGGCGGAGCAGAGTCTGTGTAACCAGCACCAGCACAGACACCAGAGTGCTGAGTTGCACTAAGACATTACTATGCTTGAGACATCACCAGGCAATAGGAATTTTCCACTCCACTATGCATTAGCAGGGTAATCATACATAGGATTTATGGTTAAATAAAATATTGTGTAGTACATGTCCTGTATTTCTATTTTTATTCTCTAATTCAGTTTAGCTGTTTGAGATAGTTTTAAGTTTTTATTCGGATTGCTTTGCCACTTGCTACTTATTCCAGACCCCACAGTTCAAGTTTCTCTATCGTTTTTCCTATTTTACCCACCCCAGCTCATCCCCAGTACCACATACATTACTATCGCAAGGCTATTTTTGAACCTCTCATTTCATATTAGAGATCAATCTATGCATCTGATGAAGCAGTTGGAAGACTTCACATTCATAAATACATGCTAGCTCTGTGCCAGCTTCCAAATCCCTCCTGTCCAGCATTTCATTCACTTTTCTCTCCTAGAACAGATTTAATATAGTCTAGTTATTTTCTAAGTAATTTCATTCTTATGTATACTTATTCAGTCACTCATGAAATGGATACAAAGAAGGTATAGATCATAATTATAGAAAGATTAAATTCTTTTTTAAAAAGTATCTTAGAAAACATTTTTGCTCTTCTTTTCTAGTAATTTTTTCATAATTCCAGTTTTCATTGGTATGTCCATTGAATGAGATGGCTAAGCTATTCTGTAGTTCAAACTATCTTCCTCTTGTTTTTCAGTAACAATAGCAGTTTGTCTGTAAAGCAATTCTTAGTTACTTTTCTCTCCTTGCTGAGACAAAATACATAATGCTCAGAATTAAAGAAGGAAAGGTTTATTTAGCTCACAGTTTGTGGAAGCTTCAGTCCATAATCACCTGGCTCCAAGGTAGGGTGGCATGGCACAAGAGCAACACTTCAAGGTAAAAGAAGACAGAAAAAGCAACAAGAGCAAAAGGTGGGGAAGAACAAGCCTCTTTTCCTCCCTTATATTGTAAGCAGGGTATCCCCTCCCCAGAGCAGGTGTAGTGCTCACACAATCCCCATGCCCTTCTCTTGCACAGGATGAGGATGTTTACACAGTGAGGATGCTGGCCCCCAGCTGAGTCCCTCAGTTAAACTTCTAAACTTCTGAAGTTGACACAATATATCAAACATTACAATCCACTCCTTACTAACTTGACCACCAGACACATTTCTTTAAACTGGTCTCCAGATACAAAGACATGATTCTTCTTCTTAACATTTCACAACTTGAACATTGTAACAGGTTTAACAATCCTTAAGAACCAGTATTAAATCTATCAACATTATATTACATTAGAACCATAACATTCTGTCCCTGGCCCCCCAGACTCATGCACATTCCTTTATGTAAATGGCATTTAGTCCATCTGCAAGAGTTGCCAAAATTCTAACCATTTCAGCATTGCTGAAAAGTCTAAGTCCCCTCTCCTCTGAGAGGTAAGGCAAACTCTTAGTTGTAAGCACCTGTACAAATGAAAAGTTAGACACTTCCAACATTCAATGGCACAAGATAAACATTTTCATCCCAAAAGTTACAAACAGAGGAATACAAAGGAATGGGACCAAAAGCAAGTCCAAAGTCTAGCAGGGAAATTATTAAGTCCTGTAGTTCCATGTGCAGCATCTGAGGCAATATGTGGCAAATTGTGAGCTCCAAAGGCCTTGGGTGGCTCCACCCCTGTGGCACTTTTGGTGGCTATACCCCCAATGGCTTCCCTCTTAGGTCCACTTTGCTCCCTCCTTGCAGCTTTCCTTAGACAGTCCACATTCCTTGCTTCTCCAAACTTGTAGGGTCTCCAGTGCACCTTTGGCTTCTCAGTCAGAACTTCACACACTGCCCTCTCAAGGGTACGCTGCCTAGCCTCAGGCCTTCTGAAATCAAGGTGGAAGCTTTTTTAACCCCATAACTTTTTCATTCTGTGTGTACCTAAAACCAGTGCCACATGGATGATGCCAAGGTCTGCTGCAAGCTGGAGCAGTAACCAGGCTTTCCTCTCTCTTGGCTGTAGGGGTCAAGCACCTGGATTGCTGCACACTCTGAATCTGACTGTGAGGAAGAAATTCTCTAGGCCACTGCCATTCTGGAACATGGTGCTCTGTGGCTTTCTCCTCAAAGCAAAGTCAGTTTTGCAGTTTTGAGGATGCAAAGTGTGGAAACTTGTGTTTGTGATGCCTTCAGTCCTGTTTTATCTCAGTGATCAAGATCTCCTCACCTCTGGCTTTATGGTTCTCAGCTTTACTGGAGCTTCCTTTTTGGCCAAACTCACAACATTTTAAATCATCCTGCTGGATTCTTTGCTCTTGATTATCAACATAGATCTGGGTAAAATCCATAACAATAGCCATGCCACCACCTCAACATTCCACTGTCCTGAAATTTCTTTTGCTGGTCTGCCACCCTTAATCTCAGTCTCAGGCAAAGTCTCTGTATATGAGAAAAATGCAGATAAACTTTCTGCCAAGCCAT